ATAACGAGCAATCTAAGCTAATAGTCAGACTAGTAGCTAGATTTAGGGTGGTAAACTGAACTCGTTTATTTTACCAGATAGTGTATTAATTAATTAAGCAATTAATAAAACAGTACATAACGTTTTTAGAACTGCCGCGTAAGCCGGCTTAAGACAGCCCAGACGAAGGGTCGCTTATGGGCATAGAGTCAAATTGAGCGGCTCGTTCGAGCTTAGTGAAAAGGTTTGGAATGAATACGCTTTTGCCTTTGCTTCTAAGTTTCTTGCGAAGCTTTTTGAGGTTCGAGGTGGAACATTATTCGACAACTAGATGATGACCCTGACTTACAGCGTGCCGTATTTCTGATACTTCTTTTCACAGTCCCGTCCTGCTTGGGTTGCACAGCGCTTGAGTCCTTGAGGGGAGTGTCCTAAATGGTTGCCCTTGAATTACGGTCGTTTCTAGCCGCATACAGGACAGCAATGGTCCCGTTCAGCAGTAGAACCCTTTGCCTGAAGCTGTCCGTCCGCTTCATGTCTAGGGCCAGCTAGTATTATTTCTACTTGTTAAAGGGAGACGAATACACCTAAGACGAACCGCAGTTGTCGTTATGTAACTGAGTAAATATCGCTATGGAACCCACGGAATTTCCTCGTTGTAATACAGTCCATCATTGACGGATATTTATAGGCAAACATATGCTGAATGTTAAAATTTCTGCTGCGGTTCCTATGCTACGGGGTCATAATGTATATTGTCAATGTAAAGCACTCTAACAAATAAACAAACATTGACATATTGTAACGAACAAAATGCACATTGTTTTTTTCACGACAGTTGGGCATTAGAAATTCCTTTTCTTTTCAATAAATTAATCTGGTGTTATTACTGGTATTGTTAGTGGTGGAAGAAAATCACGAACGCAGATGGGAGGCTAGGACAGGTCCACCGGCAATTGGGTACACACGTAAAGCTGTCAGGTTTAACCTAGAAATTTACACTCAATTGAAAGAGTATAATGTCGTCTGATCGTCAAATTGGCGCTGGAAAGCGACGAAGACTTAGACTAGTTTGTCCAATCCGACTACATTGAATAGAATGGTATTAATTTCTATGTGCCGAATATAATTTAATCGCTTATATATCACTGATTTTATTAACGTTGTAGGTGCTTTTTTTCTGTAGCAGGAGTCCTGGGGACTACAGTTCAGTCCTTATCAGCTGTATGTCCTTATATTAGTTGTGCGGGCGACGAGTGTCCATTTATCTGTATCGTACTTCGAGAAAAACTGTTCAAACCGTTGTTGGACATTGGGGCAGCGTCGCCGTAGCAATAATTGAAAGTCGCCATTCTGGTCTAGTCCAATGAGCTCAACTCACCCGGCACGATTAAAAGTGGCAGTAAGTTTCAGGCGCGAATAGCTTTGCGACCGCTACCGTTGCGCCTTACGATGATCGCCATTGCCTTTCTAATAGTTGCACTGTTTGTTGTAGCAGCGGCGATAACTATAGTAATGGCGGAATCGCGATAGGCGTTAAACTTGGCCAGCAGTAACTCTGCTACGATCGAACGGATGGCGCTCTGTTTTCTTCCGACTAAAAATCTTGAAAAAGTGACAATTCTGCTGGTTTAAATTGCCCTTTTGTACTCTGTTCCTTAGATGATTAAGTGGATGATTATTCAATCAGTCTGTTTACCCGTTCAGTGCCCGCCGCTGTTGCTGCTGCTGCCACCATTAGTGGCAGCAGCGGTGGCTAAGAGGCGTGTACCTGTCGTTTTATATTCCTGAACGTTGTTTCCGACTGTCCGATCATTCATCTGTCCTAAGCAATAATAACAGCAACGGCAGCCACAGCACTGAAGCAAACGCTGCTCTCTCGATTGTTGCTATCAACGCCATGGGGGCCGCCTGACGTTGCGCGTCAAATGCAGAGTTGCCGTGAGACGGAACGCCTAAGAAAGCGTGAAAGTTCATATTGTTAACATAGTGCTGCCTTATGGTGCAATGTCGCTGACGTCGTGATGACCTTGAAACAGTTTATTGCATTATTACAACTACTGCTACCACTACCGCAAATACGCGCCGCTCAAAATATGGATACCGTATGTAGAAATTATAGGGCGTCTCGGAAAACGACGGTCTTTCACAGCGTAATAACAAGAATAATGATCAGTGACGAATAAGAAACAAAATGTTGCATTGTTATTTTCATGTATCGACCAGCGGCGACTATTGTATCCACAGAATCAGACTAATCGATCGGTTTGTAGAAATAGGTAGGCATGCTCAGCATACTTTTCGTGCTGTCGACTGTGTACGAAAATGTACACGAATCTAGGATATGAGTTTGGACGCGGAACGGCCCGCCTTTGTCTGAAGTGCTCTAAATCCCCTGTAAACAAAATCGATATTAAGGAACAATAAAAGCAATCAAAGTAAATACTAACTGAGCGAGACTGGGACAGTTAAAAAGAAGACACTGCTTATTTCCTATCCTGTATCCAATAGGGAAGAACATTTGCTTAGACAGCAGCGGCACCACAAATTGGGTAGTCATAATTCTAATAGACATGAACAATAGGCATTATGAGTTAAAAAGGTCGTTCCTACCATAGGCAGAGTAGGAACACGATTGCGTTACCGTTCTCCATTCGTTAACTAACGTTTTAACGTGTCGTTACTTGCTTCCTAATTACAGATATCCGGGCTCAATTAAACGAACAGCTTAAATGGTTAGATTGCCGAGTTGAATCGCAAACAGGAATTGTTGCCGAACTTCAGGACTATTTCCGCCGAAGGGCCGACGTCGAATTGGAGTACTCCCGCCAGCTCGACAAGCTGGCGAAGCAACTATTGGCCAAGCACAAAAACGAACGACCCAAGTAAGAAAATAACCATAATCGAATGTCCTGATCGAAAACATCCACAGCAATCGATTAAACTAGATCATGGCCGCAAAAAAAAACAAAAGATAGGTTCTAATTTTTGTCTGGAAACGCCCTAGCCAGAAAATCTGAATGAGTCACTTGATAATACTCCAGTGAAACTGGAATCATGTCTATCAAACGTCGACTGTCTATACAGCATACATTATCTTCGGCGACACCTAGCAAGAAGTCTTTAGTCGAAATCTCTGTTCTGAAACCCATTCAAGATAGTCTCTTTACGAAAAATCTACGATTCACTAATCGGCTCGATCGGCGTTCATGTTCATGTTGAACAGTTCGTACCTTATATTATTTAGATAGTTTGTTATCATTGCTCTCGCATTTTAGTACCATGTAAAGTTTGTACTGATGACGGGACTGATTCGAAAAATCGTACTCATAAAAGCCGCTATTTTTCTCTCATAAGTGATTTCCACTTTCCAGGTGTAAATTTTCTTTAGAAGCAATTTATTTTTTATGTTACTGATGGTACCAGGAGCCTTTCTCCCATCCTATTTTTCCGAAAGAACGATCCACAGAGCTGATATACATATCGCGCCTCCATTCGAGGTCCTTTTCAATTCTCGAAACCTGCTGAGTGAGCAAGTCATTGTTACGATGTCGAAACTTCTTCGATTCTCACTTAACGGCGGTCCATATTTGATGATCTGAAGGGGTTCAAATGTGAACGGTCCAGGGGCCATATGTGCCTGGAACGTTCATGTGTCCTGGAGCAGCCAACCCCACACGTATAGTCTTCCTTAAAATAAAACTTCAGTAATTCACGATTGCGCAGCACTTTAGTAAACACGTAGACGAGCTCATTTGTTGCTTCGTTCTTCAATAATAATTGTCTCGATTTTGTTGTCCTTAGGGAACGTTAACCTGACTTCTGTATTATATGCCATGTATTTAAGATCTCGTGAACGATGCGTGACATAGTACGTTTACTCACAACGGGTATCTTCGTTAACGTTCTGATCGAGACAGAAGGGTTGCTAGAAACGTACTTTTGGATCGCAGCAATGGAGACTGCACTAGTGGCGGGCTTTCCGTTGTGCTGCACTCGATTCTTTTTAATAGCCTTATGTTAATTTGTGACGTGGATTCGAGATAACCGAAATAACGTATAATCTCGATGGCGGTTCATCTAGCTTGTAGAGATTAGATAGTAGCTAACTTTCGTTTAACTCATGAAAACGACGCACCGTTCTTCGACATAGCGAATTTATTGTTTTGTTGTAGAAACAACGGGTTTTCGTCTAATACCAGACTCGGCGGGTAAACGCGTGTGCATTACAACAAACAGCCCTCCAAAAAGTTTCTTTAAAGGGCCCGCGTATAAACACATATGAAAGGCGTCCTTGTAAAAGGACCAAATTCATTTTTTATTTTATTCTTCAAAGGGATTCAT